TGGTCCCTCATAAGTATTTATTAAATTAAATAATACTGCTATTTGGGGAAGATTATTATTAGATAAATATATTCTAAAAGCAGGTCTTATAGAGCATTAAAAGTTTTATTATGTATTTTAGTTATTTAGTATCAGACACTACACTAAGGTCAAATAAAATTTCAACTAACTCCCAACTGTAAACTTACCTGTTTGGAGGTCCAGCATTTTAAGTCTTTTAGTTTGAAGGTGAAATGCTTCTATATACAGCTGAAGAATGTGTCTATATAATTGAAATATTTTCAGTTATATAATTTGGTGACCATAGCATAGGAGGAAAAAGCAGAATTCAAAAGTCAAATTGCCTAGGTTCTAATCCTGGCTTCTCCATAATGTAAACTGTATGAAGTTGGGCTTAATCTCTCTGTGCCTCAGTTTCTCGTCTGTAAAATGGGTCTAATAATACTACCTCGCTTATTGGGTTATTGTGAGGATTAAATGAACATGTGTACAAATATATATGGATATTTATACACAAATGAGTATTATACATATGTACACACATATGCAATATGCTTAGGGTAGTGCCTGGTACATAGTATGTTATAAAAATGTTATCTTTGTTGTTATTATTATTGTTTAACCTTTTCAGAAGCAAAACTCTTTATTAGTCATATCCTCTATTCACATAACCACTTCCTAGTGACCACACTTAATGGTCTCTTGGTAAATTATTTTCCTCATATAGGATAGTGATGGAAGAATGGCAATGCTGAGAGGAGAAGTGAAAGAGATGCTGTGTTGGTAATTGTCCTGGTAAGAGAAAAAGATACACAGTACAGGGGCCACAAAGTTGGGAAAGCAATAAAAAGAGAAAACTGAGTTTGGCAGAAAATCTGAAATGCCACTCATTTTAATTTCTTTATAGAAATCTTTGGGAGTTCTATAATTGACATTGCCTCCCCCAATAAGTTTTTATAATATGTTTTTTATTTCAGTACTCACTGAAGTGGGCATACATAATAGCAGCATAAGAAGAAACTACTTTTGCAGGTTATAGAATAGACATAGACTTGATCTCATTCTGCAAATGCTTCGTCATGCATGTTTCGTGACTCTGGTGTACTCTCCTTTTGAAGAATGAGGTGCTTTGTTTCTGTTATGGTACGTATGGTACAGTATGCAAAGAAGAGCCACTAGGAAGCCTCAAAGCTGTAACCTAAATGGGCCTTCAAGATCATATTTCTAAAGGTCAAAGACAGAAGCAAGAATTTCGCCTGTCCTCAAGTGAGGTTTTATTATGATGTATTATAGCATAATCCACTAACATAATAAGGCACCTATTATGTTACAGAGGCAGTTGGCTGAAATAATAGTTTTCTTATGATCATAGTGGGGAGTTGCCTTTCACATATTGTTGCTTTCATAGCTATAGATGAATACAACTTGTATTTTACCATCAAAATGAAATTTATGGAAGAGAGTTAGTTGCATTCTTACAGGAAAGTATATGGATATAGGAATTTTCATGGTGAGAGTGGTGACTCTTAGATCTTTAAGGTATGCTTAGTTATATGTGTGTATTTCATTTTAGAACAGGAAGTTTGGCAAAAAATATATATATATACATTTATACACACACACACACACACACACACAAATTCAGTGATATGAAAAGCCTTATTATCAAATAAGATGGAACCCTATTATGACTTTATTCATTATGATATATACCAGATTATATCCTATGCTCTGAAACAGAGCTACAAATAGATATCTTATATAATATTGCCAAATAGTTCATACAAAAAAGTCAAAGGCTGGTCCTGTCCCCAGAGAATAGCCATGTAAGGAGTATATTATACCACCCTTTGAATCGAAATGTCTGCTCATTATATTTTCAACTTTTTTTTTTCTCATCAAGTCCTTGACTTTTAGAGAAATTAAGCATTTTCTTACAGGTGCAATACATTTTGGCCAAATTTCTGCTTGTAACTCGCACTGACTTTTGAGTGCCCAGAGGTGAGGAGAAAGGCTTCTTAGCAGCAGCAGCAGCAGTGGCACGGTGAAAAAATCTAGAATAAGATGACAGAGGGATCAAAGCATGAAATAACCTGTGCCAAAAGAATGCACTTTATTCCTATTTATTTCCCTTTTGAAAAAACTTCCTTTGAAGCAATCAGTCTTGGTGAAGAGGTATTAAAAAGCAGGTTTTAAAAGTGAAAACAGCAAGGTTGAGGTGAAAGATCGATGAAAGCATAGTTTATATTTATTCAGAAGATCTACCAGTACTTTAAAACAATTTGTGTTTAACATGGCAAATTGTCTGTCATTAAAATGCTAATGAAATGGTAAACAGCTGCTAAGTTTTTTATGCTAATGAGTAGTGGCAGCTAAGTAGTTCTCAAGCCTTGTGTTTATTAGCATAGAGATTTGATCCGGTAAGGGGGATCATCATGCATTCCGACCTTTGTTGATGGAGCAATCTGTTTGTGAAGTTCCCTGTAGCATTCTATTTGATTTGAGTTTGTTAGTACAAAGTGACTCTCGCCGGGCCCTCGGGTGGCCATGTATTACACAGTGTTATCAGAGCCACCATTGTGGGCTTAGAGAAAGAATTTTGCTTCCCTTTGGGAGACCCACAATGGCAAAACAAGTACAAATTTATTCATGGTGCAGCTTTAAGTAGATGATTCTGTACGCTTACTTTTTATACTTTATATTTTTAAAAATGATAATAATAAATTATAAAAGGTCATTGTTCTATTGTCAGAAATATCTCTATTTTTTGAATTTAGCTAAGAATTTAAACCAAAGCTTTTAAAATAAATATCTTAATAAGTGCCTCTGCAACATTTGACATATTGATATAATACGTCATCTTGAATCTACAAGCACTGAAGTTAGCAATGTAATATTACCTAATTAGAAGACTAAGTTGTAATTAAATACAGGGTGGTTATGTGAATGATAGGCTGAGATCAGAGTATTTCCTTGGGCATCAGAGAAAAGCATTACTATTCAATCTATACTTTTGGCTGATTCCCTGCTGAATCCTACTCTATATTCCCTAATGGATGGGGCTGACCTGACAACTTGCCATTACAGATAAATGCTTCAGGCACCCTTCCCTTTTTTTTCTGTTTTTAGGATCAATGCAAATGAAGTATGACAGTCCATTAAACACCGTTGCCAATAATGTTCTGGAATGATTTGAAATATGATGTAGGGTTTATTAAGGAAATTCATTACCAAAAAAAGTATCATTGAAATAGAAATTTTAATGATTCTGGGACACTGTGTAAGAGACTGGTGGAAATTTTAATAGTTGGAGCATTTTCTCATACTTTTCATTTCTCCTTGAAGTCAGTAGGGGATTTGGGGTATATAATTATTGTGTGATCCTGTGTAGGCAAATCAGAGAAACTGGAACCCGCATACACTGATGGTGGTAATGTAAAACATTTCAGACCCTTCAGAAAACAGTCTGGCGGTTCCTCAAAAGGATAACCCATATGATTACCCAATGACTCAGTAATTCCCAAAATTCCACTCCTACATATATACCTGAGAGAACTGAAAACATACGTCTACATGAAAACTTGTAAACAGATATTCATAGTAGCATTCTTCATAATAGCCAAAAAAGTGCAAATAATTCAAATGTCCATCAACTGGTGAATGTATAAGCAAAATGTGGGACATCCCTACCGTGGAATATTATTCAGCTTTAAAAAGAATGAAATTCTGATACATGCTACAACATGAATAAACCTTGAAAACATTGTCAAATGAAAGAAGCCAGTCACAAAAGACTACAAGATTATATGATTTCATTTAAATGAAATGTTTACACTAGACGAATCTACAGAGACAGAAAACAGATTAGCGGTTGCCGAGCACTAGGGATGTTGGGTGAAAATGAAGAGTGACTGCTAAAGGGTACGGGGTTTCTTTTAGAGGTCATGAGAATGTTCTAGAATTGATTGTGGGGATGGTTGTACAACTCTGTGGATATGCTAAAAACCATTGAATTGTACACTTCAAGTACATAAATTGTCTGGTATGGGAATTATATCTCAATAAAGCTGTTATGTTAAAAAAAGAAAAAAAAAAGGCATGCCAGAGCCAATCTCCCAGAGAGCCACCTGCATCAGCAATTACTTATCTGCACTACATGGAACCTACAGGCTAAAGAATGCTTGTTACTGGAGAGGAGCGTTATCAATCTCCTACTCACGTGTTAAGCCAGATGTTTGAAAAGGTGACAGCTTATATAACTGTTAAAAGGGATAGTTGCTAAAATAATACAAAACTCATTAGAGATAAAAGTTGAAGACAAAAATTTGAGTTCCTGTTCCAGCCACTCCCTGTCCCAACCACTACCCTGTCTGCAAGCCAGGCCATAATAAACCCTTTTACATTCTCTAACTCTCTAATGTCTAGACTATCTATTTCCCTGAAAATTAGAGCAACTTTCAGTTTGTTTTTTTTTTTTCAAAAGAATAAGTTGAGTCATAACTTTCTTGAGAGCAGACAGTAACTATGAGTTCAAGTATTTTTCCTTTTGTAAAAACCCTATAATTATCTCTAATTTGCATAAAACATGCCTACTAGCCATTCAGTAACTCTGAATAGTAAAGAGCATCTGGCTTCAAGAGGCTCCTCCCCTCTTCTCTCCTGCATTTTTGGCTAGTCAGAGGCAACCAACGGGTTAGACAACAGGACGTTCTCATTCTGCCTGTCCTACCTGCCAGCAGGATCTGTGCACTAGGTGTCTCGGCCGGGTTTGAGCAGCCCTTGTCCCTTGCCATAGGGAAGCGTTCTGCATCACTGTCTTGGACGATGAGGAGGAAGATGCTTTTTAATTGTATTTACTACTCCTGTGCCATTTGCTTACTTCCAGCATAACTCTCTTGCTCGCAGGTTGCAGCTCAGCAGTCTTGTTTTTGCACTGTAGGTTTGGGAGGGAGATGGATATGAGCGAGAGATTGAATTCATTTTTGTTTTGTTCTTGGCAGGCAGTACATGCCACACTACTACCCTTCCTGCTCTTGTGCGCACACCTACCCTGATGATGCAGCCTTCACTGGATATCAAACCATTTATGTCTTTTCCAGTGGACAATAGTTCTGCTGTTGGGCTCTTTCCAAATTTTAACACAGTGAGTAAATGCATTTTTGTTTTATTTGTGCCCTCCTCAGTGTCTTTCATTACATTTGTGAATAGGCAATAGATGTAGCCTTGTTTCCAAAGTGTGTAATTTTAAACCATATATTGGTTGTACTGCTCAGCTGTGCTATGGAAGATGCTGCTTCACCCATGGGAGTTAGTCCAAACAATAGCCGGCATGTTTATTTTATACATATCTCCACAGATGACTTTTCACCTGTTGCTTTGCACAATTTTGATAGACTTTTCAATGACTTCAGAACATATCATTTCTGGGTTGCTGTTTACATGCTCAAGAACATAATTTAGAGATATCAAGCCACATTGATTTTTCCCTTCTACTAGAAAGGGAAAAAAAAATGACTGTAGTCTTGCTTGATCTTTCTGGGTGCATTTTTATTTGGGAGATATTTTAAATAAAATGTGACTCTTACATAACAGAATTTTTATTTAGGGGCTATTGTGGATTATGTGAATCCGATTCTATTAACAAAAAGAAAAACATGTTTTTAGTCTACATATTAGTTATTTGCATGATACTTTGACATTCCTTTCAAAACATGATAAATATTAGTAAATTACCTATAATAATAATTCAGGTCACCTGACCTCTTATTTGAATGAAAGACATTTTGTAGGTGTGTCAAGTGGAGCGTGCATGACATCTTTCAACAATAAGATTCAGCATAAAATCAGTCTGTACCCAGGTTCTAAACTTAAAGTAAGAAAAGGTTAAACAGTTCACATAATTGCATCAATTATGTCTGCTTGGTTGATAAATATAGTCAGTTGGGGCGTGTTGGTCTACATGAATGATAGAGCATTATAAATGCTGCTGTAATAAAAAAAAAATAGTATTATCAACACCACCAGACAGCGAGCATCTGAAGTACTGCCAAATGTTTCCTTTGCAAACTTATCTTCTGTATGAAGTGAAAACAGCAAGAGGATTTTTCCTTAAGGGTTGTAAATAAAAATCTGCTGACAGGCGTTCTGTCAGGGCTTAGTGCTGTAAGGTAATTAGGGGGTAGGGGATCAGCCAACTTTTTATAGAGCACTGGCCTTGTCTCAGTGAGTAAACAGTTGAATGTTTTTGTCTTCTTTACGTTTTTCAGAAACAAGTCAAACAGTAAAAAAATAAACAACGACAAAAAAAAAAAAAACAGGTATAAAAGGCAAGCATTGTTTCTAGAGCAGTGGAACAGCTCAGTGGGATAAATCACTGTGCCTTGATTCCATTAATCCTTCGGGAGTCACCCTCCGAAAGCACCACATTATGCCATCTCAGAGACCCTGAACTCAAGAATACGTGTTGTGTCCTTTATTGAAATGTGTCATTCCAAACATAATTGAATTAAGCGATACTTCTTAAAACATTTACTAGTATTTGTATTTTGATGAATGTGTTGATTAATGTCTTTGAGAGATAGCATTTATAGCCACTGAAGAAGTCTAGTTGCTGTCAGGAAGCAGCACTGATGATATGGGTAGGCATAAATGGCAGTTACTGTGATTCACCTCTCTGTATTTATTTATTTTTGATACAAACAACACATGAATACTTATTTCAAAGATTCAAACAAAACACTAGCATTCAAGGCAAAATGAGAAAGTCACTGTTCCCTACTCCTGCGCACACTCTTACTCCCTTCACTGAGGAAAGTGCTGGCAGTAGCTGGTATCCGTCCTTCCAGCCCCCTTCTGGAAGTATGTTAGGCATATACGTAACAGGTACTCTTGTCGTTTTACAGCTTTAATCATATGATTAACACTATTCTCTAAGTCACTTTTTTTAATTAATAATTATCAAAATGTCTTACATATGCCTCTCTGTTTTTAAGAGCTGTAAAACAAAAATGGAGTGAATGATTTCATAAAGGTTTTTTTAAAGATAAAAATACAGTTTCATAATGGCTTGTTAATATTGCATAGGGGTTACAGATGCACTAACATGCCTTTTTGCTTGATTGGTTAATTGTACATGGCAATTAGTCTTATGATAAATTTGAGAAAACCCAAAGAATAATTCTATTATTAGAAGTTCATTTTTTTCTTCCTTTGGAAGAAAAACATAATTTTGAAATAAAAATACTATTTGGTCAAGGTGAAAAATACCACAAAGAACTACATGAAATAGTTATTTTCACTCTCTATATTATATGCAGGGAGCATTTATGAGACAGAGAGCCCTTTTGGTAGTGTATTAAAAATCAAGTCATTCCAAGTGGGAACCCTCTATCATCTTACAAGAAATGAATTTATAGAATCATTGGGTGACCTATGATTTTTCACTGTGAGTTGCAATTTTAAGTATGCGAATCCTTTCCCTATAGGTTTTTCCATTCCAGTATTCAACTCACCCAATAGATTACCTAGGGAATTTGATAAATGTCATTGTCAACATTTTCTTAGGAAAACACTATTACATCACTACTAATAATTATACTGGATTATTGTGTATTTGTGATGTTTTACATCCTTCAAAGGACTCAGACCTCAAAACATTTTGGTAGGCCTTGATTATTACTCCTATTGTCCAGAGAAGGAACAAGAGTTATTAAAGGAAGAACTGAGACTTGAATTAGAATCTTCTAACTTCAAAACTCGTGTTCTGGCTCTTTGCATCCTTGGCTCTTTTGGCCCATATCACCTCCCACTGCATTCATTATGAACAAAGCTCAATCAGAAATCTTTTGTGCTCTTTTCTGGAAACATAGTAGACAATTTGCAGTAGAATCATTAAGTAGAAAGAGGAAAGGATTTTTTTGAATGTATAAAATAGACCTCTACAAACAACTATAAAGCAGAATATATTTGAAAAACAGCTACAATTTCTTGTGGGCAAATTTTAAAAGTATGCTGTACTCAAGAGTCCAGCTGTTCTTTGAAAACCACATGAATTCTACCAGTTTATTTTTAACCAAAGCTAATATTAGTAAATATAAGTTATGAGGTTAATTTCAATCTCATAATTATTGTCAGGAGAACAAAAATCCCATGCTCTAACTGAAGGTTTTGGAAGATTAATGTTTTACTACTTTCTTTAATTAGATTTTTAAAAATATATCGAGTGATGATTTCCTCCTTTTTTAATAGTGGAGTATGATAACATTACATGAGAAACTAGCAACAATGAAATGAGATTCTGTGGTATTCCACAATAGAATAGGTACCTGTTCTATGCTAAGTTGTACTTGATGAAGAAATGGGCTTCCCAGTGTTTTTTAGTGGTTTTCTTGCCTTATATGCCACAACTGTCAAATTCTCTGTCAGTGCTTACTTAGCTATGAAGAATAAGCAAATAATTTGAGACACTGTCCAAGCAGAGTCATACAGAGATATAATAAGGAAGATGGAGTTCGGATCATTGATAATTTACGATGGGCTATATGTCAAGGATGTGTGACTGGAGAATGATGATGTTAACACTGTGCTTCAGCAGTTGTACTTTACAGAAACACTGTTTTGAGTCATTTATAGCTACAAGACTGTACGAACCCAAACATAAATTTTTAAAGATCTCGACCTTTATATCTAAAGCCTAATAGGCTTCTGTGCCTGACTACCCACTAATGCTCACTTCTACCACTGCTACCCACCTTCAATTAACTATTTGTCGTTCAGGGCTCAACTTGGATATCACCTCCTTCACAGGAAGTCTTCCATCACTTTTCAAGTCTGAATTAAGTACTATCTCTGTGTTTCCAAAGTAGCCCCAGATTACCTCAATTATAACAGTTGTCACACCATAGTCTAATTACCTAATTATCTGACTTCTTCACTAGAATGTCAGATCTTTGAGGACAGGGGCTATATCTTGTTCATCTTAATATGTTGGGTGTCTCGCATAGGTGCTCAATAAAACTTTTTGGAAGGAAGGAAGAGAGGAAGAGAGAAAAGGTCAGAGGATAGGGCCCCAGTTCCTTGGTTTTCAATGTTTACACTCCCCCATCGAGCAAAGGGAATACTAATATTTTTTAACCCTAAGTATTAGGTGATAAACCAGGTGTTTACTTTTACTTTTATTTTCCTGAGGCCTGTCATCACTTTTAATCTAAAGGCAATAGTTACAAACTTTTCTCCAGCTGTAGTTCCCTGCTTTCTCTGTGTGGATGGTGTGGAAACTTCAGCCATTATTTCCTACATTCCTTGTCCTATGCCCTACCTTTAAAAGCATTTAGTTAAAAAACAAAGTCATTAGTTACTGAATTTTATTGAAAACATAATATATGCACTAAAGAGTACTGGGTTTGGGAAGAGGATAAACAAAATAAATAAAATAAAAATACCCTTGTGCCCAAGAAGCTTATAAGAAATAGAATAAATAGACTTGACAAAGACAAGATAATAAAAACCAAGAAACACTAGCAAAATGAATAGTTACTAAACTTTATAGTATTCAAGAAACACCAGAAAGAATAAATTGTTTTGTATTCCAGCAGAGCTATTTTCGTTATTTTGATATTAATTTTTCTTTAGACTTGCCAGATACTCCATGGTCATCCTTTAATGGTTGTACATAATGTTTTGGGAGCTGCTAAAATATACACAATTGTTTCTTGCATTAGAATTAGAATCTCCTATTTCCTTTACTCTGGATCCAACTTTCATCTTTGTTCACAAACTACTAGGATAATACCAAGATGGATGATATTAACTTAATAAAATGAATTCATTTAGAATACCCATATATATATATATATATACACACACACATATATATATAAATAAATATATGTGTGTGTGTGTGTGTGTGTGTGCGTGTGTGTGTGTGTGTATATATATATATACTGTTATGAACTAAATGTTTATATCTTCCCAAAATTCGTATGTTGAAGTCTTAGCTCCTAATGTCACAGTATTTGAACATAGGGCCTTTGGGAAGTAATTAGGGTTAGCTGAGGTCATGAGCGTGGGGCCCTCATGATGGGATTAATGCCCTTATAAGAAGAGACGGGAGAGAGCTCTCCCTCTGTTTTCACTATGGGAGGA